GGAATTCACGAGGTGTTTTGAGATTCTTGAGGAGATGGAAGATAATGGATTGAAGCCTAATGTTATTACATATGGTTCGCTAATCAATTCTTTGTGCAAGGATGGTAGGCTTCTTGAAGCTGATGTAGTCCTAAATGATATGATCAGTAGAGGGGTTAAACCAAATGCACAGGTCTATAATATGCTTATAGATGGACATTGTAAGAGAGGAACTATGAGTAATGCTTTTGTATGTTTCGAGAAGATGGTAGAAAGTGATATAGAAACAACACTGGTTACATACAACACTCTATTAAATGGGCTTTGCAAAAAGGGTATGATCAAAGAAGCCGAGGATTTGGTTGTGCATATTTTACTCAAAGGTTTAAATCCAGATGTTATCATGTACAATTCTTTGTTGTCTGCATATTCAGATGCAGGGGACACTGGAAAGTGTTTCCAAATGTATGAGAAGATGAAAACCTCTGGCATAAAACCTACAATGAACACAATTCATCCTCTAATTAGAGTGTGCAAAAAGGAAAAGAGTGAACTGGTGCTGATCGACAAAATTGTTCAAGAAATGGCCGATATGGATCTTTCTCCCGACCGAGTGGTATATAACGAGCTGATCCATTGCTATGCGCTGCATGGAGAGGTTCAAAAGGCAGTTGCCATGCACATAGAGATGGTGGAACGAGGAATTCCTTCTGACAAGAAGACGTACAATAGCTTGGTTATGGTGCATTTGAAAGAGGGAGAATGTGAAGAAGCAAAGAATATTATTGATCAGATGAAGGCTAACAATATTGTTCCCAATGATGAAACTTATAATATTCTGATAGAAGGGCATTGCAAACTTAAAGATTTTCTTGGCGCATACATGTGGTACAGAGAGATGCTTGACAATGGTCTTCTCCCGGTAGCCAATATCTGTAATGAGCTAGTATCTGGCCTTAGAGAGGAAGGAAGATTGCAAGAGGCACAAATTATATGCTCAGAAATGAGTTCTAAAGGAATTGAAGAGTGCAATACAAATGAGGATCTTTCTGCTGTTGGGAGAGCGTAGGACAAAAAAGACATTGTTCTCCAGCTCTTCAGTTAAAAACGTCGGCAGCAAATGAAAAGCTTGTAATATATTCAAGAATCTGTGTATTCTTGTAATTTATTTCCTCATTGATACTCATTAACATATGTATTCTCGATACTGGATGAGATGAATTTCATAGTTGTATAAGTTATTCATGTCAAATTCAACCTTATCATTGTCTTTTCTGAGATATCTCTATTTTTGGCTCCCATTCATTGTCTTCCGAAATTACTTTTGGATCCTGTGGAAATTAATTGAAGTGTATATTAGATGTTTTACATAACAATAAGAGAATCTCTGTCATGAAGAGAAGTTCTACTAAATCAAAAGTTTATTTGTATATGCGCAAGTCCCAAGCAGGACACAGTCATCTTGACTTAAAAACCAAGTGATATGCAATCTGGCTCTGAATGTGTTGGCGAGAAAGATGAGAAAGTATCAGATCAGCATGAAGAGCTGGGTAAAGTTGCTGAAGATTCATCTGACAATGTTGATGGCCCTGTGGATCTTTATGCCAGAGGTGCTGCATGGCGACAAAAATTATCGTGGACACAGTTGGTTCGTGATACCACCAGTTCTTTTAGCATTTCACAGGTTTTGCCTGGTGTAAGTTATCCAAAATCAGAGTTTTGCCTGGTGTAAGTTAAATTCTAGGTAGTAATAGCAATCTATGAATAAAAGGATATCATGCTAACACTAATGCTAGCGAACTAGGAAAGGATAAGAGGTTTGTTCCAGTTGTGCCATGTCCCGCCTAATAACTTCCCCCAAGACTTCTTAGGCCTGCTTCTAGCCCTCCTGATATCCACTACAGATTATTAGATTAGATGTGCTTCATCATTTTTGCCAATCAAAAATGATAATTTCGTCTGAAAACTATATAGATTAAACTATCTGGAATCAAACCAAAGAATACTCCTACATAAAATTGAAGGTTTGGAGCGAAGAGTTATGTTTTGCTACATTAATCTCATAACTTAATTCATTGACATCTTTAAATACTGTGGATGACTATGACTAATTGTCTAATAAAAATTTATATGCTTAAATTGGAGTTTAAGCCGCGTTTAAAATCAATACAATCACGAACAATGATATTAATAATAATCGAAGGGGTCATTTGATTACAAAGATAAGGGATAATAATCGTGAAATAAAATGTAAGATTATCTTATCCCACGTTTGATTGAACTTTTGATTATGGTAACCCGATATTCTTTATACTATAATTATGGTATTATTTTTATATCACACTCAATGTGGGATAATAATATAAAAATTACTAATTTCGAAATAAACAATCAAATGACACATTAGCCCTTCTTAAGTCCCCCAAAGTAAAGATAATGTTACAATTAAAAATAATTTTTTTATCCAAGTTTACCTATTTATAAAATCAAATACATATTTTATATTATACCCATATATCTCATTTTTAATTTAATAAACCAAACAACTATAAAAATGTACTATTTACTAAATAATTTCGTTATTATTTAATTTCATTATTATAATTCCAATATAATTTGTCCACAAATGAAAGGACCTACTAAGAGACAACAGTTTATAAGGAAAAAAATGAAAGGACTGCGTTTGATAAAGAGAATTCAGTAGATAATGGAGTTGGGAGCCATAATTGACCAACTAGGATAGTACTAAACAACTTTTCTTATTTTAAAAAGAGAAAGGGATCTGTACAATCACATTTCTCATTCTATCCATCTTCTCTATAATCATTAATAAGTACTAGTATTAGTACCCGCGCGATACGCGGATAATTACAAAGAACGATCTACACCATAAAGTTTAATATGTTAGTGTTAATACCATAATTTCCTAATGCTTGTATTGAAAGTACGAAAATCCCAATAGTTGCATGAATTCGATCTCCCTAAAATAAAAAATTCAAAAAGAAATTTAAGTTAGTAAGGCGCATAAGTTGAAGAAAATACATCACAACTCGAAAAAAATAACATGTAAAAGAGTATGTACCTTTTCATCTTGAATAATTAATTCAATTAAATTAGAATTTTTTAGTTTCTCGCGATCTGGAATGTGTCATAATCTAACAACACGGCCCTTTAAATTCCNATAAAATTATAATTGATTCTTTCTCGAAAAAGGATGCCTACCATAAAAGAAATCCTTAATAGTACTAGAAATCGACGATCCTGTAATTTTGTATGGCAAGTGTGAGTAATCATATATTGTCATGTCACAATGATCTTTTTCTTTTACTTATTTTTGGACTTGGGTCTATAACACGTTTTTGGAAAGAATTTTTTCTTTCCATTTTTATGTCAGCAGAATATTTCATACCTTTTTTTCTTACCCATATTAACTCAAAGTATTAATTTCATATTTCAACAGAATATTTGTCATATGTAATATTACTCCAAATATGGTTATATATATTCACGGACAACTCTATTTCATATTTCATTCCCACAAAAAAAAATCAATTATTAATTAGATACAAAAGAACATCAAATAATAATTTTTTGACGGAAACCATGAACTTATATATAATATAATTTAGATATGGTAATATATGTTCATGGATAGCTCGATTTCATCTTTCTTTCCCAACAGATTTTTTATCCAATTAATAATTAGATACAAAAGAATATCAAATAATATTTTTTTCAATGTTATACAAATAGAATCCAACAAATAGATTTCATAAAAGTGCCAAGTAGCTTTTTCTCAATACACCACTTGGCTTAACTTCATGCTTCATTACTCTCCTTTTAATATAATATAGATAGATTGAGTAAGATCTTATTTTGCTGCTTGACTTTATTTAATTTTTATACTCAATAAATTTTTAATATCATAAATAAATTTTAATTTTATTTTATATTTTAACATACTCCAAAATATAAATAGTCATAGATTATCTCAATTTACGTATTTCTGTATTTTTTATTTTTTTATTATAGTTTTTTAATGTTTAATTAATTTTTCACTTCCATACTTCTAGCTAATATAGAAAAAAAGCTATGAGTGGATCAATATATAGATATAAATATAGATATACATATAGATACAAATATACATGTATAGCTTAGATTTGTCTAAGATCTATTTAGATTATGTATAAGATTCATTAAACTAATTTCATTAATTATATTTTTATTTATAATTTTTAATAATTAATGTTGTCTTAAAATTGCCAAGTGGCTTCATTTTAGCTTGTCACTTGGCTTAATCACATGCTTCACTACTCTCTTTTTAATATAATATAGATTATTAATAATAAGATACAAAAGAATATCGAATAATATTTTTTTCAATGTTATACAAATAGAATCCAACAAATAGATTTCATAAAAGTGCCAAGTGGCTTTTTCTCAATACGCCACTTGGCTTAACTTCATGCTTCATTACTCTCCTTTTAATATAATATAGATAGATTGAGTAAGATCTTATTTTGCTGCTTGACTTTATTTAATTTTTATACTCAATAAATTTTTAATATCATAAATAAATTTTAATTTTATTTTATATTTTAACATACTCCAAAATATAAATAGTCATAGATTATCTCAATTTACGTATTTCTGTATTTTTTATTTTTTTCTATTATAGTTTTTAATGTTTAATTAATTTTTCACTTCCATATTTCTAGCTAATATAGAAAAAAAGCTATGAATGGATCAATATATATACATATAAATATAGATATACATATAGATACAAATATACATATATAGCTTAGATTTGTCTAAGATCTATTTAAATTATGTATAAGATTCATTAAACTACTTTCATTAATTATATTTTTATTTATAATTTTTAATAATTAATATTATCTTAAGTGGCTCTACTATTCTCCTTATTCTCAACTTCAGCAGCTGACTCTTTCCTCTTTCTTCTCCTCTGTTAGAAGCAACTTTTATTGGGTTAGTTTCTCTCCATTTCTTAACTTATATATTGATACTTGTATATATGCATATGGGTTGTTGTTGTTTTGTGTTTTGTATGTGGGGTTTGGTGCATTAAGCCTGGAGCTTTAATTTTTGACCTGGGTTGAAAAATGAATCAAGAATTCATTTTTATTGCTCTTTTGTCATCTATTTCTTCAGCTATATGTATATGGGTTCTTGTTTTTTAAGTATTTGGTATGTGGGGTTTGGCGCATTAAGCTTCAAGCTTTAATTTTTGACTTGGGTTGAAAAAAGAATCAAGAATTCATTTTTATTGCTCTTTCTCATCTATTTCATAATTTTTGACTTGGGTTTCTTGAGTTATCTATAAATACATGTATATGTGTATATGGGGTTTTTATTGGTTGTGTGTTTTCATGTGGATTTTTGATGCATTAAGCTTTGATTTTGACTTGGGTTGACCTATATGACTTTAGGTTGTGTTGAACTTTTTTGGTTGATTCAGAAAAAGGAAGCTTTTTGGTGGGGGCAGAATTGGTTGCTTTGCAGAGGAAGTTTGTGTTTCCTATTGCTGCTAAAGGTACCTTTTTTTGTTGATTCTGAACCTTATGCTATTTGCTTGATTTAATAAAATGTACATGGTCTTGTACTGATTTTGGAATAAAATTGGCCTGAATAAAGTGGAATGGAAATAGAGGATTCATATAGCCGACTCTTACTAGTTTATTATTGAGATGTATTTGAATGATTGATATTCTAGTTTGGTATTGCATATCTTCTTTTTAACACATAGGGACACAGCTTTGACTATGAAATTTCTATGCAGTTCTTTGAGTTTTGGATTTGAAAAAGTGCTGTCGTACAGTTTCTGTTGCGTATATGAGGAAGCATTTGGAGATTCCAAAAGGAATTATTAATAGGTGAAAATTTTGTTGCACTTCTTTAAAACTTGACTATCTTTCTATTTCTAGTTTCAATAACTCGGATATCTTCTAAGCATGGGCAGAGCTAGTGGCCGAAGGAGGTTCATCTGAGCCCTCTTCGCTGGAAAATTACACTATATATATAAGGTTAAAAATCATTTTTGTGTATATATAATAGATGTTGAATCCCCTTGACCTATTCGTGTATTTACTTCTTTATATTTTTAATCCCCTTAGTGAAAATCCTGGCTCCGCCATGCTTCTAAGAAGTGGAATACACTTGAATTGACCGTCTGGTTCTTGCAGCCAACTGCAGATTTTGGAGCTGCAGAAGGTGTGATTAGTTGGGTTGTGCTACAAGCTCTAAGCTACCATTGGCCTTAAGGCTTTAAACCAGTTGGTAGCATCATGGGCTGTGAATGTTCTAAATTTGCCTTGTATTACTGGACAGGACAGAGTGGCCCCATTTACGAGGCTCAAAATCCTGGTATGTATATCTTTTATTATAAGCTTTTCTGTAGCACTTTCCTCCTGCAGTGTTTAATGTACGTGCTATTTTTATCTGGTTTCATGCTGCAAATAGATGAAGAAAAAGATGAAGTTAGCGATTTGCCTGCATTCCGAGAGTTTACATTTGAGCAGCTCAGGATAGCTACATCTGCATTTGCTGTAGAGAATATAGTTTCGGAACATGGTGAGAAAGCTCCAAATGTTGTTTATAAAGGAAAGCTGGAGAACCAGAGGCCGGTTGCTATTAAACGCTTCAACAGATCTGCGTGGCCTGATACCCGGCAGTTTTTAGTAAGTGTTTGGCTGGCATTGTTCCAATTCCAAAAATTATTGGTTCCTTCTTATATTATGTACCTGATGCATCAACAACAAAATGGAAATAGAGAAATGAATGCATGCCATAAGCTCTGCTTTTTTAGTGCTCGCACTCTTTTGAATATATATGTAGCCTGTAGTTAACTCGTGTTTCATCTACTGACAAATGCTTAACTTAGTTAAGCTATAGATTCGAACTTGATTTTCTCTCTTCATATGGGAAATTTCAGGAAGAAGCAAGGGCCGTCGGTCAACTCCGCAACAATAGGTTTGTGAATCTTCTTGGCTGTTGCTGCGAGGGTGATGAGAGGTTGCTAGTTGCAGACTTCATTCCCAATGAGACACTTGCGAAGCATCTTTTTCATTGTAAGTGCGTCCACACAGATACTTTTGTTTCCCTAC